TATATATATATATATATATCCATGATACCTCAGTACTTAATTGCTTCATGATCCTTTACTGTTGCTACGATCACTATCTGTCTCAATATCAATGATTGGGGACTAAAACAATGGCAAATTGCTGGAACTTTCATCAGCTTTGGAGCTTTGGCATATCCATGGTCAGTACCTTGGGCCAGCGAAAAACGCTCCGTTACGTAGTTGTTGTAACTTGCCACAACATCAGGCCATTCTGGACTCCAAGGAAATATTGAAGGATCAGAATAAAATTCTGTCTTCCACCCACCTTCGAAGTGTAGTCGACATAGACAGGTCCATTGTGAATCTCTCTCTCGCGTATTTCGTGTCAACTTTCCACCTTCGTCTTCTTGCCTTGTCTTTGGGTAGTTTGTAAAACTTTAAATACTGATACGAACGTTTATTGGACACACAACCAGGAACATAACAGTTTACATTTACAGTTTGATAAAAAAATAGCGAAAACGTGAAAAAATGGAGTACGACAGACTACTAAAACCAAAACATCATACAAGACACTCCGCCATTTTGTTTGTTTACCCCGAGCGTATCCCATAATTCCTTGCACAAGACTTTCGTGACGTAAAAGTTTCAGAGGGCTATTATCATTGTGCAAACTATCGAAAACAACTAATTATAGCTTCTTTCGAGGTGAAAACAATAGCTTATGAATGAAAGCATTGCTCGTTTGCTTCTCATTTAGGATTAATAAATAATAATAATAATAATAATAAACTACTAACCTCTTGAAATAGTGTTTCGTGTCTCTCTCCAAATTCTTGAAATGACATCCGTTGTGGAGAGCCAAGCACTGGAAGAAGCAGAGTCGGTCTTGGTAAGACCGCCCAGTATTCWTGTCGCACTCCAAGGCGAAGATGGCTTTGTTGTTTAGGATGTGTGGCGGCAGTCGAGTAGAACGACCAATGGGGTGATCCCGTACCTTTGTTACATAAAAACAGACGTTGGTGACCCAGCTGACAACCCATTTACTGTTTGGTCTTTTCTGACGGATCCATTCCAAGATGTCCAGGTTTCTAATGGCATCATACACTTGTTGTAAATCTTGGGCACTGGAGATGAGAAATGGCTCGTCAAAAAGTCTCGT